ATTTGAAATCTAATTAATAATCCCGTAATTGAAAAATAAACTTGTTTAATTGCACTCTTTAAACTAAAGCAGTGTGATGACAGTGATGTTTATATCAGCTCGAAAGAAACGATTCTTAAAGCTACCTATGACATATACAATAAATGTATTGGGCTTTCTCAAGTTTCGGGCAGCTACGACTGAGGCTCGCGTCAAAAGTATGCATGATGTTATAGACAAGACAGCTGAGATTATGCTGGTTCAAACCCTTTGAACCAGTTCCTTGAATACGTTATTTGAATAGATAAAGTAATAGAGAAGTGTTCCTGTTGGTAGCTGATAACTTTTAACCTTTTAAGCTATTATTCTATATTGTCTTTGTATATATTTGTTTAGTCAAAGTCAAAAATCATATAGGTAACACAATGTACACGTATGAACGTCAAAAAAGAAATATACATTTAACCCTTCTTATTTTACATTTACTGCCAGTTCTCAAATCAAGGACGTAGAATGGAAGAGAAGAACTGGCCATAAACTCTCCGCCACTCTTTTTAATCGCCAAGTTTTTTGTTAAACACAACGTTTGTAAGGAGCTTCAACCATTACACCATGTTCCTCCACATGACATCTTAAAAATAATAATAAAATAAATTAAAAACAAAGATTTGTCCTCTATCAGCAGGAGGCATCGTGAAATAGGAGCACGCACTTACATTTACGTGGAAACAACACGCAAATACATAGTCGAAATGCCAGATTTGGGGTGGTTTTACAGTGACGCTTACTGTTTTTTTGTCGCGTTCCGCGCGGTTGGGGAAGGCGCGCGGATGACCCGCTCGAAACTTAAAACTGTTTTAAAGCTAGTCCGGGTTAGGCCTCGTACAGTCGTGATCGGTTTGCCGGCTCATACAGTCGTGATAGACTTCTCGTATTTATTATACTATATTACTTATGGAAAAAAGGCACGACGACGACGTATACAAGTACATCCTTAAATCCACTAGATTGCTGAGAGGGCCCTAATTTGGGATTAAGAGAAAAGACATCTTAACATTTTGTGTCTATAACAACATTTGATGAATTACTCTGCAAGATAGAACATAATTTAAAAAGATCAAGTTTACGTGAGCACCTATAGAACCATTGAAAAGTTGCCTTAAGTAAGGGCTGAAAAATACTATTTAATTTTTAGTAATTACTTTATTTACACAAAAACAAAACTCGTTGAAATATAATTTAATAGAAATTGTCGTTTCTGATGCAATTTGGAAAGTGTTTTATTCTTCACAGCTTTGCTGAACAAATTTTGACTGTTGATGAGGAATATTGTTTGCTGTTTGATACGCCTCGGTGGGTGGTGGTACTAGACATTGATTCGTTGACTGGTAGCGTTTTGTTGTCCGTTGATGAATTGTTGCACACATTACAGATAGAATCATTTTCTGGTGACATGACGGTGTAATATTGACTTTGCTATTGATAACCTCGTTGCGTAGTAGTATTATTAGAATGATTGGTTGTTGATGTTGTAGTAGAATTTGAGTTATGTTCTGGTGACAAGATGTTGGACGTCGACGTAGTGCCACTTGAAGTTGGCGCGGAGAGATCCATGGCGATTTGCAATACTTTGGCACGAAATAATAGTTTTTTATAACTGTTAAAAGATTTTAGTATTGACCAGAGAATTAAAAAATGACAAATCGTCAGAGCTTATGTCTGGCATATTTTTGTCTAACAAATCTACCAACTTTTTCTCAACGCGGAGTTCTCTGTACCCGTTCATGTTTCCTTTGAGTCCATGTTGGTTAGAGCGGAGTAGAACTGTTTTGAGAAGAGCCAGAAATTTCCGTATTACTACGTGAGCTATTGTTTCAGATGAACTTGATTGTTCATTAATGTTGTACATAGATTCTGAAACTTCGTCAGTGATACGATCAAAAAGTGGTTTGAAATATCCACTCTTGCAGATTTAACCAATTTAAGGAAAAAATTTTTTAAAAAAAAAAAAAAAGGGGAAAAAATTTTTTTTTGTATCACGCCTTCTCACTTGTTCTTTTTATGAATCCTTTCCTACTTGGACTTCCTAGTTCTAAAATTATTTTTTCAGATCTTAGCTACTGGGAACACTTACTCCGACTACATGTCACATACAGAATGGGCGTTACTACATAAACAAAATCGTCAAGGAAGGTTGCTGTTAGATATGGAGAAAAACTACGCGAAGAATGCATTCCTCAACCGACAACGCAAATGTGGCAACGTATTAGTGCAAGTTTGAGATGTATGCAAACTTTCCCTGTTGTGGGGAATAGATGGTAAACATTACGCATAGTTAATCCCGCAGGTGGAGGTCCGTTTTACAATTACAAACATTTTTATTCTTTGTCCTTCTGGCAATGTGCGGCCAATATGCTTTACTTATGTCAACATTTGTTCTTGTGGGAAAAACCCTGATTCCACCTTTCCAAAACAGTCATCAACAGTTAGAAAGAAATAATTTAAGGTTACCGGCCCAAAGACCTGCAAGGATCTAATATTGTGGCACCTCATATAATAATTGAGCTTGGCAATCGAACTATGTGATGAACCTTTTCGACATGATATGAGCCACAATCAGAAGATATTCAATTACCGTCTAAATTACAAACAGAAGATTGTACACAGAATGTACATTTGGAATATTATCAAACAAGTTTAGAGTGTTTCACACTCCAATGAACGTGAGCTTCTCCAACGCAAAAACTATAGTTAAAGCTTGTTGCGTATTACACAATTTTATCAGAGGGAGACGGCTACAATGGAAATGACTTATTAAGCATTAGTGGTTTGATTGACATGAATCTTAGCAGTTTCTAGAACAGGAAACAACTACGCGAAGTGTTTGCCGATTACATAGCAAATCGCAAAAAAAAAAAAAAATTTTTAAGGGTACCTACCTAGTACTATTTAAAGGACTTAGTGGATTGAATTCATTGTCGTCCTTTCAAGTATAGACTATAGTGATGATTCATAGCATTTATGACAAAATTTTCAAAACCTTAAAAGAGAATCCTAATCATCAAAAATCCACAATCTTATTTTTAAACAAAAGATAGTCTCCAACAAGTAAAATGATCAATTTACCTTATCTTTACCCTACATATCGATTGAAATCTTTACCCTACACATGTTTAACGACGACTTTTATACCAACATAATATAAATTTTATATTATAAATGTAATTGATAAAAATACAAATTTTATAAACATACCATTGTCTTTCTTTATGTAATTTTCTCCAAAGATTGCTTCCCAACCTTCTTCCCAAGCCTTATTTTTTGCGCGCTTTGTTTTGTATAATCGTTCGATGGTCCCACAGCAACGGTCGAAAGCGAACTTCTTCAATCAATCGCCCGTATCGATATAATTCGGCATTCATTTTGGCGAGCGAGGGCGGTACGCATGCGCGCGTCCGACCGGCGAGACTGTGCAACGCACACTGGAACACAATGACTCCTCGCCACGGGGGGGGTGAAAAAGCGGGGCTGAATTGCCGTCAACGCGGGCTCCGCGTGACTATGTAATGATCCATGAGACGCAGCCGTGGCCCGCGACGCTTACCAACTGCGCTGGGCGAAAGCGTCCTGTAAAACCACACTAAGGGAGAGAGACAACCCGACGCATGGACGCCGCCACAGCGCATTAATAATAATACTAATTACACTGAAATAATTTGATACCACATGGACCACGGTTTGTTCCCACTTTCCATTAAAACAGTCGTGGATGTTGACGATCACGCCAGAGTCTGGAAATGCAGCCGAAAGATTCAGTCGCGTTACCTATTTATACTGGAGCAATTCTTACCAAGCACTAGGATCGTTTAAATATTCATTTATATTATAATAGCAGTTTTACTTTAATGTACGATATAAATTTATTTATTGACAACACTTGTATCTCACTAGGGATTTTGTTGAAAAAACGTACACAATTGCCTTGGAAGTAAACAACCAATTGCATGGAATAGCTAAGCATTCGAACTCTTAAAAACATACTACATAATAAGTTTATCTTAAAACTGTCACGTGATTGTGAGGCTAGTGGATAATGAAATAAGCGTATAACTTCGAAAGTCCCTGGTTGCCGGCGAAATTATAGGGCCTTGATGGACAAAACAGCTAACCACATTCAAAACATTAAAATTCACGCATAAATGCTCTAGAAGCATTATTATACAATATTCATAAAGTTCTATAATATAGAGATTTTTAATACAAGTAATGCCATCTCGTAGACAATAGACTAACTATTGTCATCAAGTATTCTCGTAACGTATAAAAGCGGCATCTGTTTTCGCAATTTGTAGGCGCCTATTTCGAGATTTAAAATAAAAAGAAATATCAATAGTTCTGTAGCAAAATTAAAGTTACTAATTGTGCAAGAATTGAGAACTTAAAGTTAATCAATAATTATTTGATTAAACTTATTGTAAATGCATGTGCCATTCGTTATAGAACTTGTAGACGATTTTACGAGCAAGATTGCGCATAAATTATCTTTGCGCATTATACTGAAAAATTGAAAGGAACACATCAAATCGAAATAGTAAACTTCTAAGTGAAACAAGCTATTTTATTTAGTTGGCTTATAGTCAGTTGAACGTCGACTATCATACATTCCGCTACATATTTTGCCTATTTTTGAAATGACGTGACATGTTTGACCTAATTCAAGATCTAAGTGCTTTATTTATAGCAGTTTTCAATAAAAAGAGCTAAACAAGTACACCTTTTGGCGATAATGTGGGTGATTGAGTTCAATTTTCGTCTCTAGTTCAATTTCACTGTGATATCTTGAATAAAATTTTATTTACATATTCGAGGATAAAAAAAGCAATAATTATTTATCTAATAAATAAATAAGTGATATCTGTTATTAGATTATCTTCTATATTAGTTTATGAATAGAGTCTGTTTTAAGAATTTACGTAAATAGCTCAAAATTATTTTATCGAAGTAAAAAGTAGGAGAAAAATATGTCTTTCGTAAAATGTTGTTTTGATGCTGGCGAAGGTCATGACATTCTGGAATCATTTGTGCAAAAATGTACCGATCCTGGCTGTAAGTATGTTTCTAAACGTTAATTCCATAACTTAATATAATGTTCATATTTTATTTTTGTTTCATAAAAAACATAATGATTGTAAAGATGAAATGAATGAGGTGGAGAAGAATTATGTCCTACTTTATTTTAAGTCAGAGAGAATTTGCAAAAATATTTTTCTAAACATATTTCAATTGAAAATATAAAAATAGGTTTGAAATGTCTTGGTCCTTCATATTAATATTAGGTCACCATAATACATAGTAATATGTAATAACATTAACTAGGTATTGATTATTAATTGTCGCTTGGCGCCAATAATTTGATATCCGTTTCCGTCAACAGTTCAGAAACTTAAATATATCTTAATATAATGTATATTTCGGATAACCTTTGTCTAGTTTTTAATGCCTCGTAATAATCATAGTGTAAAGCTACTGTATAATAATAAATAAATATTTATTTATTGAAAATAAAGGTTTTCTTTTAGTAATTAGAGAAACTAGAGGTAATATTAGAATTTATTTTCTATATATTATATTTGACAATTTTATTATGATGCCTTAAATTTCATACTAATATAACTTGAATGAAAATAGGTTAATCGTCTTAAGTTTGACGACGTTAGCGTTTTACCTTATCTATGGCTACTGTTTGTGTAAGTACTCCATGGACAAATAATTGACTATGGAAGAATGCCTATCAGAAATCAGAATTGATTGTTGACTTCTGAATCATTAAAACTACGCCCTTATTTCTATAAAAGCGTTAATGGCTACATATATAATAACAAGACCAGGAGTTATTTAATATGGCTCTAGGTAAGTAATAATTTTATATAAAAATCCCTTCTTTCGAAATGAAGAGAAAATACAGTTGACATATGTTCGTGTGGCGCCATCTTGCTCATAGTCGTTCTTCGATTGCCTTGTCAAACCGCGTTTTTGCTATAAATATTAATTTCTGTTTAAACTCTATAGTTCATTCTTTTTAAATTGTAAAGTAAGATTATTTAATGAAGCGATAACTGTTCAGTGAAAGTGTTGGTTACTGTAAGTTGGGGCTATTTTCCAAAATGACCACATCCACTACAGTGACTACTCAAAATCAAGCGAAGAATAATGGAACAACAGCCACAAAGCTTCCAAAGAACTATGGAAAAATAGTCTTAACGCTTCATAACTGTTTACTACCGGAAACTACGTTCAAGGAGACACCATCACAAGCAGATGGGTTAGACATAGAAACTGAGATTGACCTCAGAGTCCTTGGTTGTGAAATGATTCAAACCGCTGGAATTTTGCTCAAACTGCCTCAAGTTGCCATGGCTACAGGCCAAATGTATCTTCAAAGATTCTACTATTCAAAATCGTTTGTAAGATATCCTATGGAAACCACTGCAATGGGAAGCATCTATTTAGCATCCAAGGTTGAGGAAAAGCCGTGTCGTATCCGTGACGTCATCAACGTATTTCATCACATCAAACAAGTAAGAGCTCAGAAAACAATCTCCCCACTAATAGTAGATCTTAACTACATAGAACTCAAAAATCAAGTAATTAAAGCTGAACGACGCATTCTTAAGGAACTCGGTTTTTGTGTTCATGTAAAACATCCACACAAACTCATTGTAGTCTATCTGCAATTATTACAATATGAAAAGAATAAAGCGCTTATGCAAATGGCTTGGAACTACATGAACGATGCTCTAAGGACTGATGTTTTTATGAGATTTCCCCCAGAAACTATAGCATGTGCTTGTATATTTTTGACTGCACGGAAAATTGGATTACCACTCCCAAATAACCCCCATTGGTTCTTGTTATTCAAAGTAACCGAAGAAGAAATTCGAGAAATCTGTGTAAGAATTCTACAACTATATAAAAGGACTAAAGTAAATCCTGAAGAATTGGAGAGCAAAGTAGATTCTCTTAGACGGGTATATCAAGCTAATAGGCAAATGCAAGTACAGAAGGAACGAGAAGCAAAGTTAGAGGAGAAAAAAAGTGAGCCTTCAACATCAACATCAAAGGAGACAAAGAGAGAAACTAAGAATGAAAAGTCTCCAAAGACACCACCATTATCTTCAAAATATCATACAAGTCATAAGAAGAGGGAGAGGAGGTCTCGCTCACCATATGAAAGAAAACGGGAATACTCCAGCAAAAGGCACAAGTCTCGTTCTCGTGAAAGGGAAATAGACAGGTCAAGGGAAAGAAGGTCTGATGATAAGAGGAGTCGGACATCTTCCAGAAAGTATGATGACTATGAGCGGTCAAAATCAAGTAGGGATAGTAGGGAAGATAAGAGAAAGCATTAATTCGTTAATTAAAGAGTATATTAAATGTATAATTAAAGTAAGGTGACTTAACAACAAGACTTTTAATTTATCTCTATATACCATAAAACTACATTTGTGACTGTTGAGCTTTAACTAAAGCAACTTTTTTACAACAAGATTTGAAAAATTAAGTAAAAATGTCAAATTTGTGCATGCAATGTTTTTAAGCAATTGCCGAATTGTTCCAAATCTAAAGAATACATTACCAATTACCAAAGAAACTTGAAATATTATTCATCTTATATTTTGTGATTTATAAATTGTATTTTATCATGTAAGGAACATTAGCATAACCAACCTGTGTGTACACAATGTAATAGTGAACTTAGACACTTGGAAAACATTAATTAACCAATTGTGCTATTTAAAAAACCAGTAAAGGATTTTTTGTTTTATTTTAAAAAAAATTGAACCTAATAAGTCCCTACTAAACGTACATACAGACACCTAATTAAGCATAGCATCATGCAAGGTATATGCTAGGTACATACTTCCTAAATATATTAAACCTATTTTCTGTTATATCTACTCCTGAAACATTTTGTTTTAGCCCTATCTATTAGGCAAACTTAGGCTACTCATGCTGTCAAATATAACATGTCACAAGCAGCTTCTATTTTCAAACTGATGTATTAAAGAGTTAAAAATAACTTTCACATCTGGAGTTTGTAGTTGGTGTATTGCTATAGTGAGTTTAGAAGGTTTTGAGTGTTAATTCTAAAATAACTTAAATTACAAAACAGCATATTCATTAGTGATTCATTCTCATACTATCATTTTCTTGGGTTATTGGCATTATAGCAGCAATCAACTATATTGAAATTATATAAATAATACAAATGTCATATTTAATTCTTTAAGAAGCAATGAAAGAAATATAATGTATTTGTGAAACATTTTTGTTCTTTATAATTGGATTAGAATAAATTTACTTGGTCTAATTTAAAGTTGTAATAAATGTCATACTTGTAATTAATATGTCATTTTATATTTTTAAGATGTTTCATAGTACTCAATATAAATCAAATAGTCTCAGGTGGTTCAGAAATAATAATAGGTCTTAAAAGTATGTATGTAGAGGATAAGAAAATAGAACTAAAATATTTAAAGTTATTGTCTAATAATAGTGTATTGAATATTGAAAGGTGAAATCTAGCAGTAAATATTGATAAATATAGTATGATAATAATCCGTACGGACCCGCGGAAATATTTAACTATCATACTTAACTAAATAAATGTTATCTTAACCTTATCTTTTACGACACAATTCTGACATAGTATAGCAAGTCATACACATAGATTGTTATTTTAATCGTGTTTACAATGTAGATTTATTTAATAACACAGAAAAATATTTAAAATTAATTTTAATTGTGTATAGAAGTTAAATAGTGTTTAGCAAATTGAAGTGTTAAATAGGAAGTGATTATGCTGCCGGTGAACAAAATTGCGCATCGTCTTTGCTTTATGATGAGTAGGACTTTGTATATAACGTGTAAGTTTATCTAATGTTAAGTCAACTGTCTCTCTGATTTTGAATGCTTCATTCCGATCCTATCAATAATTGTATTTATGAACCTTATTTAGCACTTGTTTGACTCAGTGCTAACCTATCGCACTTATGAGGGCTGTGGTCGCCTATTGCTACTACTGTTTTAAAACCAAAGCTATATTTTATGTCACTTCTTACTACATAATATGGGTTCGGAATGGTATATTAATAACTCATATTTAGATTTTAATTATTATTAGTTTTGAGTTGATGAGTTTAACTTTCATTTCCAACAAAGAGGATGTCGATGATGATGTATGAATTTGTGGATTTGACTTCTTTCAGGTTGCTGTGGCTGTTGCTCCGCACTTCGGCCAAGATACAAACGTTTGGTTGACAATATATTCCCCGCGTTACCACAAGATGGCCTCGTCAAGTCAAATATGGAGAAGCTTACGTTCTACTCACTCTCCAGTCCGGAGAAACTCGATAGAATCGGGGACTACCTCTTTCAAAAGGCTTCGAGGGATATTTATCGGCGACGACATGGGTATGGACTTGTAAAAATCTTTTCAGGTTATTATGAGACCAAGAAGTAGTAGTAGGTCTGAGCGACTTTCAATCGAGGTCGTACGTTCAAATCACGGCTGAGTGCTATTGGACTTGTTTTTCTATGTCCGTAATTAATACTTACAGCAAAAACGTATTTAGAAAACCTGGCTTAGAAACGGCATTGAGATTTAAAGGCAATGACAATTATGCTAATTACAACCGACAAAAAAGCTCACTTCACCCGTATAGAACTTGAAACGCTAAGATAATTATTAACTGAAAAAAGTTCATACTGTGTAGTATTACTACTTGTTTTAATAAAATTGTTTATATTTGAGGAATCTGATATTATTATTTTATATATAGATACATATGTTCTAATAAACTATATTGCGAATTTACTAGTGAAATAAAATTCCTGCAATAACTTGAATTTTTTTAAATTTTAGTGCCAATTTAAACACAATAATCTCAGATTGGTCTAGTTTGGGCAAGGATACTTGGCAGGCAATACATTGTGTTATATCATAATTGGCAGTACTTAATGCGAGAGTGCCTCCCATAAGTAGTTATTACTTTTTAAAACGTGTATCTGTAATTCGTTCATGTATCTCGAATCGTGTAATTATTTTAAGCAATTTGTTAAATGTTTAAAACATAGTAATATTTACACTTTTAAATTCATATAAAAATATGTAAAGGAGATCCATCTGAATTTGGTATATAGGAGGGAAGGTATTTTATTTATTAACAATTCGTTGCATTACAATATAAAAATTTAACATAATTAAATATAAAGGAATGGCGGCCTTTTCGCTTTCGAACGATCTCTTCTAGCCAACCACTGTAAGAAAAGAAAAAACATGTATTAAATTAGATAAGGTAATAATCGTAAATGTATATCATATAATTTAGTTTTTAGGTTAAGTGAGTTTACATGTACATACTCTATTATATCTATACGAGTATATCACACGGAGGGTATTTATCCAGGTTCGTAATAATAGCCATGGAGGCAATGGACCAGCTGCTCTTAGCGTGTCACTCGCAGACTCTCAACCTCTTCGTAGAGAGCTTCCTCAAAATGGTGCAGAAGTTACTGGAGTCCACAGACCCTCAACTACAGATACTTGCGACGCAGAGCGTGAGTGACATTATTGGTTTTTATATTTGCTAAATTCGTTAAAGATTTTGGACCAATCAAATAAAGACTGGTATAAATGTAGTGTTTGTATGAAAATCTGGATTATTTCCGTTTTTATTTAAAGTTTTTTTATCTTTTATGTTTTTGTGTCTTTGCATTTGAGACTTGATTCTACCACGAATTCTACAATCACTTAACAAAGTTAAAACTAATATTGGACTTGTTCTGCGCTGAAACAGTAAAACTTTACATTTAGTAATATTAAAAATTATTAAAAATCAAAAGTCAAAAATCATTTATTCATTTAGGTAACACAATGTACACTTATGAACGTCAAGAAAGAAATATATAAATTAAATGCTTCTAATTTTACATTTACTGCCAGTTCCCAAATCAAGGACGTAGAATGGCAGAGAAGAACTGGCAAAAAACTCTCCGCCACTCTTTTTAATCGCCAAGTTTTTTGTTTTACATTTTTGTTATATACCAAAGAGCTTGGTATAGCTAGCAGCTGTGATTAAAAATGAAATGCTGGCATCGCGCTTGCTAGCCCTCTAGAAGTGAGTGTCCGTGGGCAGTGGTATAACTTACATCAGATGAGCTTTCTGTCTGTTTTATAAAATATATGTATATATCGTTTCCAGTTCGTCCGTTTCGCGAATATAGAAGAGGATACGCCATCATACCACCGTCGGTATGACTTCTTCGTGTCCAAGTTCTCTGCCATGTGTCACAGCAATCACACAGACAAACCCACACGAGATAGTATACGACTCGCCGGCATAAGGGGGTTGCAGGTAAATGAACGAAGAACGAATGAAAGATTGAATTATTGTTAGCGAGATTTAAGGCTTTTATTAATATAATGTTTAAAAATATTTTTTTAATATACCATAAAGAAATTCGATTAAAAAAAATATTAAAAATTTAAGGCGCTTAACAAAATAACACTCTATTTTTACCTTAAACAACACTGTCTTAATCAATCTTCTTGTAACTACCCGCAATTATAATTTAATTTGTTTATTATTAATCTAATTGGCGTTTGGTTATATGTATTTATTTATGTGAGTCATTTCTGTTAACCTAACAGGTGAGCAGAGACCTCTGCTTGCAATGGTCCCAGCATAATTATCTCGTATCGTACACCAAACACGCTCGGTTAGGTATGAGTCCTTTTGACCTGCCCTTCTAAACTTCTTTAGCTCTTCTTTTGTGTCATTCATAATTTAAGAAGAAAAAAATAAATTTTTTAAATAAGAACATTTATTTATCTTATAAAATAATTACTTACTTTATCTTAATAATTACGTATGAATAAATTGAGCGTGAAACCTTGTAAGCTTAGTATTACAAGATTAAAACAAAATACAGCCTTGAGATTAATTCGCTCGGCTTCTTATATTACGTGAATTTTTCGTTATGTCATCTTTGAGGTGACTTTGCTAAGAATTTGCCGTCTTCTGCATATCAATGATATGTTGCAAGTTAGCAACAGACATTGATACTCTTCACACTACTTTTAAAGGCATGATATCTCCGGCATTGAGAGCGTCCATGGGCGGAATCACTTAACATCAGGTGAGCCTCCTGCCGGTTTGCCCCAGTAATATAAAAAAAATTAATTCCTGCGCTGGCCAAAAAATATTTTCTTGCGATCAAAATAGAGAGATTAATAAATCAGAAGAGGTACAAACGACGTAAATATTTAATCTGTATTTTGACAAATAAAAAAATGCCATAAGATGATTTATTTATTAGGTGATAGCAACATATTAAGAATATATTCAAGTGCCTATCTCATACGTAATTCGCTGTTTTGGTGATATTTTTTATACCTTTTATTAGTACCAAAACTGTAATATATTTTAGATAAAAGAGCTTGTAATATATACCGTAGATATAGTATTATGTAAGATGTGGTAAACTTGAATAAATAAAGTAATTGAGCCGTGTCGGCTTAGATACGGATTATTATTAAATTCAATTACAAATAAAACTTTGCAATGGCCATACATTTTATTTATTTATTTCCAAAAATAGATCATTATTATTAGTCAATACGATAATGTAAAAAGGTGTAATTTAAATATGGAATACATAATATAATTCTAATTATAATTAATTTAATTTCGATTGTATACATGACAGCAATAATATTTCAGGGGGTCATAAGGAAGACCGTGTCTGACGATCTGGTGGAGAATATTTGGGAGGCTCAACACATGGATAAGATTGTGCCTTCGTTGTTATATAATATGCAGGTAAACTCTTTGACAATACATATAATATCTTTTTCATTTTCTATATGTAATATTAAGAAAAATACACGTGCAAATTGTTATTGATTCTTAAGCTAAGCTTTACAATTTATCTTATTATGTATTACAAATATTTCTCGATAAAATTATAGTCTAGTCTAGTTATAGGTATTTAAACAACTCATAAACATCAAAGTTTAAACACCAATTCATAATTTTGACAAGGATTTTTGGATTTAAATCAATCAGGGCGCAGAGAAATACGAAACGGTGTCGTGTCTGGAGTCAGAGACGGACACGAGGGAAGGGATAGAGGAACCGCCCAAACTGGCCGAAGCCTGTCTCCGGGAATTGGTCGGGAGAGCCTCCTACGGACACATCCGATCAGTTCTACGACCCGTACTCACGTAAGGACCATTCGTCGTCAAATTCTATAGTTCCATGCAAAAAACATATGTATATATAATATATAGATATAATATATATTATTTCTTATTTTTAACGTAATTTTAGGCATTTCGATCGCCATGAGCTGTGGTTGCCGTGCGATTTCGCCGTTCACATATTCAAGATTATCATGTTCTCTATTCAGGTAATGAGATATCTTCAACTTCTAAATATTCTAAGAAAGTGTTAGTTGGTCCATTTTTGACGTCGTCCAACAATAAGAAATTATTTTCATTTTCTGAATTTGATTAACATCTTAACGCTTATATTGATGCCCAGTGAGAGACCCTTGTGCGACACCTTACAGGCGCAGTACTCGTACAGCGTGGTGGAGGCCTTGATGCAGCACTTGGACGCCAGTGGAGGCGGGTCAGGCACGCGTGTCCGCGCCGCTCGAGCCACAGTACTTAGTAATATCGTAGCTATCGCCGCCGGTGATAGTGTTGGTGAGTTTTTTCATTTAAACTTGCGAGCTGGGGAATATGTGGAGGTGGAGGTCTACCGAACATGGACATACGAACTCTTATTAGTAAGAACAGACTCATGCCTCAAAAGCCGTTAACGCATCCACTAACATGGATGTCCACGTAACTGCTTTTAATGGCTGTCTCTGAATCCTACGAGGCGTTTGACTCTGTATTGTATGAAAAAACCTTTGTTTCCCTTTGATGACTCTATGCTAAAGTCTATTTCGTAAATGTTCCAGGTCCGTCGGTGTTGGAAATAATCAACAATCTCCTGACAAATCTCCGAGCCTCAGTAGCTCGAGATTCCGAAGTGAGTGTTTTCTTTCTTCCTATTCTTTCCTAATCGCTGAGCCAAAATTTTAGATCAGATCTTTTTTTTATTGGTTTAATACAATAAAAAAGGCTGGCGACGTATATACCCATCTATAGATATTTTTGAAGTGAAACTTCTTTAGGCGCATGAGGGTAAAAAAAATTCCGAACGTCACGAAGATGTGCAGCGTTTTTGTCGTATTTTTTTCTTTAAAAAAGATGTGCTAGTATATTGTGGGGCAATTACTCATACTTGAACACGGATGGTGTTTTTAATACATATCCATATCATTATTATTTTATTAAGTGTATTTTTATAAGGGCACAGAACCAATACCTTTTTTGCTAAGACCCAGTTGGGTATTTTAGAATATGTGGACATAAGTTAGCAATTATGATAATAATGAATTTGTTATATTATTTGGTAATTGTTACCATATTTATGGTGGCATTTCTATATACACAACAACTTATTTTAGTTCTGGTTTTTAATTAGCCTTAGTATCATTCATTAATATAGAAAGACTGGCAAAATTAAATTATGGAATTTGGGCAGCTTAATTACTCAATAATTAATTTACAAAGAAGTTTCACTTCTGACATGTGTACTTTGTTGAACTAGATGTTGTGACAATGGTCTCTTATTACATACAAATTATGAAATAACTGTTTATTTATTTATTAAAGTTTACCGCATCATACATAATGCTATATCTACAGTATATGTTACGAGCTATCTTTTATAAAATATATAACTATTGTGGTAAATTATTCAAATTTTAAATTTAACTATTAGGTATCAGATGGGTACTTTACAATGTTTTTTTTTTAATATCAGTTGATGAGCAACTAAACATAGCCATAGACATATTCAGTTGAAACTGAAGCCTCACCCTGACCACTAACTAAAAGTCCTCCATGCAATAGTTGTCTTTCCAGAAAGAGTCCGACGAGCGTCTCTACCAAGAGGCCTTGATCAACGCGTTGGGCGAGTTCGCGGACCACTTGCCCGATTTCCAGAAGATAGATATTATGATGTTCATCGTCAGCAAAATACCGAGCGGCCGAGGGAAGCCCACCAAGGCCGATTGTATGCTGCAAAGCATTCTGCTCAAGTCCCTGCTCAAGGTATGTTTTCATCTCTCTCTCTCAAATTGTGATAAAAAGAGACAAACATTACTATGTCTGTACGTTTACAAGGTGGGAACGACGTACAAGACGACGGAGCTGAGTAAAGCCTTCCCCGCGGCTTTCCTCGAGGCCCTGCTGCGCGTGTCGAGCACCAGCGAGGCTCGCACCAGGGCCTTGCTGCAGAGGATCCTTCACACGCTGCTCGACAGACGGGCGAACGCCCCGCTGCTTCTCGTGCCCACGTGAGTGTATAGTTGCATGACTATGTCAAAATCCATCGTGTTTTTGAAATGGGAGAGAAATAACGTAAAACCCCGTTTTTTTGGATATTTTTTAAAGGTAAAGTGGATTTAGAATCCTTCATTAAAGGCTTATAATATGGAGTCAAAAGGGTATTTGAGAATAAATCACAAAGCGCACTATTTAACCACTTACTTGCGTGCACGCACACGTACGCGCGAAACGGGCGAGACCAGTTTTTGTGGTTAAGTGTGATGTCGATGTGGAATAAAAATAATGTTAATATTTAATTATAAGAATTTGACGATCAAACAGATAGATCCAATTTTAAAATATATAATTATGAATTTCAGGGTGCAGTATGAAAAACTAGGCTTGACAGTGGAAAAATGCTCCCGACCTGACCTGATCTTCATCAGCAAACATGGCCACGCTATCTTTAGCTCGCTGTATGAAGGTATACGTTCACTTCCATTTTTTACATTTTCTAAATATATTACTATATTATACTGTGATGCTATTTGGACACATTTTTGTTAAGTATAATATGTATAATAAGTATAATATGATAATTATCGTAAAAATATATACATAATATATTCGTAGAAAAATGTTATTAATGTCAACCAAAAATGGTCGTAAGAATATTCGTACATTTATTCGTTATAATGATTCCAAACTATGAAACAAATAATAACGTTTTAAATGATGATTCTTAAAATCAATATGTATCAGGAATCTCAATGATTAACCAAATCAACGTCAATTGACTCGATTAGAACATTTCCTGACATATATGATATTTTTTTTATCTTATTTAAACATATTTATTAAAAATAAAATTGGCGCATTCTATAGTCTGTGGTCCGTTTATACTCTATACTTAGTTACTTCCTTTTGATGATTTTGATAAACTAATTGTACCCATCGTAATCTCTGTTATATTAAAACAATAAAACTTTTTTCAACTGAAGTAAATGGTATTCAATTACACTCTGCCAACAATATTACATAAAATAACTTAATTAAAACGATGTTCAGGGCTCCAACTCGAATCGAACACGGCCGAGAACATATCGGCCATTTACACGACCCTATCTCTGCTCGCCATCGAGCTGGCCTCCGAGGAAACCGTCTGCGACATGCTTCAACTCATTCTGGCGTGAGTTTTTCTATTATTTTGAAAACGGCCGTGCTAATGGTGAATATAATTTTTATGTATTAATATTTCCAGCATCCAACAGTCGGCGATATCGAACCCGGTACTGTCTACGGCTCAGCAGTGTCAGCTCCACGCCATAACCGTTGCGCTAGCGGCTTTAGTCCCGCACGTGCTGGCGCTGCCGCCGCTCGGCGATTATATTAAACAGGTATTTTATACTCTGTTTTTTAATTCCGTATAATTCTGACAGATATAACTTTTTGATTATTTTGATATAACGCTCGAAAGTGTCCCGAACTTAGAGTATTAAGCCAGAAGGAGACGCCATACTCGAACGATGCTAATTATTTTTTCTGCCAAAACATCGGGGGACGAGGCACTCACACAGACAAAATTTTACTACAGAAACAAATTGCACAATGTTTGTACACACGCACACAAACCTAATTTGCTTACACAAGAGTAACCGCAACGCACACATTTAAAGAAATCGTATCTTTACACGTTACATGTACAGCACACATACGCAACAATCCCGACATAATTAGAGCTACCACCATGTCGATAAGGAATGTCGATAAAATTTATTTATTCAATCATTCAGTTGTTCATTCTATTTTGCAATAGCAGAAATATTCTAAAAAAATTTTTTCACACATGCGGTGGCAAATTGTGAACTAATGGCGCCACAAGCGACTGTACCCAAACTCTATGAATTGGTCAGTTTCAGTGTGTATAAGGATAAGTAGTGTCAAGTTCTTGCGTGACTCAAGCTAAAACGGACTTTGGTTTGGGTACCGTCCCTCATGGCTTCATTAACTTTCACTCAGGTGAAGTAGTCATCAAGAAGACACTAGGCTCCATGTTTTTATTTATTTTATTTAAACAAACAACTGAATGTACATTGGACTTTTCTTTCTTCTTCTTTTCTTTCTGTTTTCTGTTTTTGCGACAGTTGCACCTTAGGAGAGTATGTTAGCGATGATTTCTAAAGTGTTTATAGCATTTCTAAAATATTTTAGAGAAAATTTGCAATACATTACTATACGGCTAATATTTAGAAGAAGTTATGCGCTGGTCTCCTCCATGACGCTCCATCCTAAATGTAATAAAATAGGCAATTAAAACAACGTACTTAAGAAAAAATATTTATTACAAAGAGGTTAAAAAGTACAACAGGGGGTTTCTAAACACATTGTCAATCAAAGTATTTATTTATATGAAAAACATCATGTAACTGTATAATCATTTGACATTAAAAAAATATTTTTATTGCTACTACTTTTTTAAATAGCGTAATTGAAATCCCATGATGATTTTGAATTTAAAAATTTGAAACGACATAAGAAAACACAATTTTATTTTTATACTAGGTACTAGTTTCATGTATGAAATAATAAGAACACTATTATTACTTACAAAATAGCGGATTTTGATAAGTTTTATTTAAATCTGCAAATCCAGCAAAACTTTTTATTGATTTTTGAAGTGAATGAGTTTTGTGAATATATGACGGATACATTTTTTTGGATCCTTTTTCTTAGAAAGGTAAGTGATTGTGTTTACATATTTTTCCATAACAACCTTTGCCAGTTCTATGTTATGGTCACATATGTTGTCAAAATATGTTCCTCAATAGAATGAAAGAGTGTTTTCCCTACAAGTTTTTTAAGTTTGAATAACAATTCGTTTAGTGTTGTATTTAGGATCAACTTTTTATCCGACGTAAGTGTGGCTCTAACTCGAATTCACAAAAGCGACAAAGGATATTACCTCTTCTGAGGAATACATTAAGCCACCTCTACTTTTTTGATAAATCAAGCTTTTTTACACTGCACGCCTAAAAGAGCCTTGACGCAGATACTGCATTTGATTTTTTAATGAAGAAAAACCACGTAGCCCGCTATGTATTTCACTACTTCCTCGCCGAAAGGAGATAAGTAGTGTAGCTATCTATATCTGTAAGTATTGTTCCTCTGTGATGGAAAATTGTTTATCTGCCTCTAAATTAATACAGATGACAAAGATGTGTCGTTGATTTTTTTATCCCTGAAGAACAATCTAAAATTGATATTTTTTCTAAAGGAATACAATTGTACCTCGTTCATTTCGGTTTAGCTCTGTGTGTACCAATAGTTTCTTATATATTGCTTCGAGTTGTCGCGCTGTGGGATTATCATTATACCCGCCATGGCTACGAACATTGGAAAAAAAAATTCTATATGATCTTGGCTGATCTTATGTAAGGGCAGATACGTAAGTATTGTGCCTTGGTCTAACACTAAACTTTTGAACAACTTTTTTGCACTTTCAATGCACACGCAAAAACCAAAAAACCTGTGTGTCTTGGAGATTTTAATATATTTACTTTTTTTAATGTGTTACCCCTAGGAATAACCACAGATAAGTTAGTTATGACAGCTTTTGCTTCATCTAATCGGTCAAATGCCTTTTGATAGTTTTTTGAGTTTAATGCCTGTTTGTACGCATTGGACCAAGTTTTTGAATCGAGGACATCAAATATATCGTTCATTAAAATTAAAAATTCAGTTGGAGTTACTTCTTTGAAAGAAGGCATCTTCATATCAGAAAAATCAATGCGTCAGCTACGCTCTGACTGAAAAGTTGGGCAGCCAATGAGACATTCATTATTTTTGACTTAAAATAAATATGGTTCGCTTTTAATTTGTTGGCTAAATAAAACATTTCTTCCTCTTGTAGTTGGTGCAACTTTTGTGATATATGACCATTCTATTTTTTTTTCATGGCCAGATCGATAAGTTAAAAAATATTCGTAAAACTCAAACGCATTTCTAACCAGTTTCAACATATGACACGGATCTAGAAAAAGAAAATCTCTTGTCCAGTATGAGGATCTAATATTTTAGTCTGTAAATTTAGTGGATCAAGACAGCAGCCCAATTCTTCAGCCATGGCAAGGTTACATTTTTGTGCCGTCACATGTCAACGCCTTTAATTTCAACACCAGTTTCATGAACGAGCTGGAACGCTATTGTGACAAGTCGAGCTTTTTAAGTTAGCAGTCATACCTTTTATTAAAAAAGTACCCAATAGGTACTTTCCATGTGGTATTGATGCCCACCAATAGAAACACTAGAGCATCAGTGGCTTTATCGGAATTGTCCGATATAAAATCAAATCCGTAGTCTACGTATCCGTAATGCCTTTGGGTACTAGGAATTGTATTCGGTAAATTCTTTTATTTTCATTTCATCCATATCAAAGAGCAATAGATTTTTTTGCCAGTATTACTGTCAACTCTCAACTCAGTGCATAGTGCCTCTTTTGTGAAGCCTGGACGACCGTTAATAGTACTGTACCATTTTGACAATGTACGCGGCCTGGTAAACAGGTTCCGAATGTTTTTCTTACATAACGGTAGGCTTTAGGTGAATAATAATTTAATGTAAGTGCAAAACATCTTAATTCAGGAGAATACTTAACTCTGGAATCCAGTTTTGTTTTTATAATTTGCCTTTTTATTAGTTCGGTCTCTTCCACGCCTATGGCTTCCAAAATTCTTCTATTTTCTTTATCTATTAAAGATTTTTTGGTTAACTCATCAAGTATTTCTTTTAAACTAGCAACTTTCTTTTTTTAAATATCGTGTTTTCGACTGAAGTCTTTTAATTTGTTTTTTTTTTGAACTATTATTCTTCTTAATTTACGTATTCTTGTTTTCTTGGTCCAATTTATAACAAGAAACATTAGTACTTGTAGTAGGTGAAACATATTTGTTGAAAAGAGCGAAAAGTTGATGAGTGGGGTGGTGAACTAGCTGAGGTTTCAGCTCAAATCTCATTTTTTTGTGTTGGCAATGGTTGGTTTTTCGAAGTCAGCCTACAAAATAACATAAAAATAACATTACTACAGTCCGTGAGGCGTAAGTTGAGCTTTGTATCTATGTGACTGCACACGGATAGTGTAGAATTGCAGTCGACTTGAAGCGCGCGGTCCTGTGCTTAGTTTGAACCCCTGTTTCTGTGTTTGAACCGTTTTTACTGGTGTTTGATACTCAGTCTGAAAGGCGATGCGTCCCACTCCAATAACAGTCTCTATCAATCTTAAACACGGTTACAAAATTAGTTGCGCTTCAATAACAAATCGCGCCATACTTTGTTAACGCGACAACAAGTTTGTAATACTAAATCAGTGTTTCAATCTTGTACTGTCATACTTATATGACGAACGCGTTATTGAGCTGCAAATTAATTTTGTTATTGTGTTTGTTTGAAGGAGATAAGTATAATGCTTTTGGCGATCACTTACACAAATGTAAAGGGACTATAGTATAATAAATGTGAAAGTATGATTTTTTATTTGTGTTTGTTTCTCTTTCAGTTACGGCTTGACCGATTTGATGAAATTTGGGGGTGTAGGGAACAAGACTACTAAACAGACTATGATTTATCCCGGAAATGTGTAAGGTCCCCAAGGGATAGTCAACAAATTGTTACAATCAAAAATCCGCCCAGACGAATTCGCAAATAGAAGGTTGGTTTAAAATAACAATCATAAAGATCTATTTGCTTCGTATGTTGACAGAATAAATTTCTGAAAACCGTTATATTTTAAGGTATACATGAAGTAAAGATAGGTATAATTGGTGTTGGAAAAGCAATTAATCGTTTTTTAGTTACTCCAGTGGATGTTCAAAACTATATGGAATACATAATACGTTATTACAGATCCCTACATGTTTGCATCGAAACTAGAAAACTTACATTTGGTAATTTCAAAGTAGGTGTTGTGATTCCTTTAATTTTCTTTTGTTGTTAGCCAGCAACAAGAAACATGACGTATCAAAATGATCGGAGCAAACTTTACTTGTACGTTTGGGTAGCCATGTTCTGTGATTTTCACAAGCTTTTATCCATTGTTGTCGACGGATAGGGTCTTTTGGAAATCTATACTAAAACTGTTTTATTTCAAACTAAAAAAATGTATCCATAATTACATTATATTGTTCATTCGTTCAATAATTTCGATAAAAAAATAGTATGTGTCCTCTCTCTACGTAATGACGTAAACTGGGTTGGTGTGGCTAACTACCAACTTAGGAAAATAACCATTATTAGGATAAATTCATGTGATAAATGTTTATAATTTTTCACGTCCTTTCTTCATTAATTAAAGACATTAGTATAATAAGAAAATTTGAAGTGTCGGGTAAACCTTCAAAGTACTTGTGAGCGAATCCACGAACAGGACAACTAATCAATAGTAAAGCATATTTACTTAAGTCATTGAACAATATGATCGCTATGTAAGTACCATCTGTTAGTAAAAAAATTATGCAAATAAAAAAATTAAGCCACAAAAAACGTCGTAGTGCGGAACTTAGCAATAAACTGGCAACATTGACTCGGCATTACTCGGCAATGAATATTTATTTGATTTTCACGTATTCTTATAATATACGATAATATTACTTAAGAAAATACTTACAGATGAAATGTCACGTTGTCTTTTTGTACACTCGATGTGTCAGACCTTTTTTACAGCCGAATACACTGCATCCAGTCATTTTGTCGGAGCTCTTTACACTAACAAGCGTCATACCGGTCGAGAAACAGTTTTATATAACGCGTATGTCCAGCGGGTTCGTACTTTGACAGAGGGGGACGCGCGTAAAGGCGACTCCTTTCTGGCTTAATACTCTAAGGTCCCGAAACACTATTTCTGTCTCTTTCTATAAGTTACAACCATATATTATTGCAAAATCAACCTTACGCGAATTGTTTAAAGTTGTTATTACAACGCAGTGTATACGTACTTAAAGCAATAAAATTTTACGACCGACCGTGGTCGGTAGGACAAGGTATTGAGTGGAGTCGAACATGACTTTTTTATTTACAACTATTTAACATAATTTTAAATTTATCCAACGCTTCGCGTGCTTTACAGCATTTATAATAATACATAACTTTAATCAGGTTAAAAAGTTTTTTCTTTAAATTAAAAAAAAAGTTAAATTGGCTACCTCCTGACCTACACTTTATATAGCGTAAATATATTTGTCAAAAACTACACACAAAAAAGTTCAAAAGTACATAAATTTATTTATAAAAAAAAACACAAATAAATAACATCGACTCCACTTATTAGAACAGGGTCATTCTTATAATGCGACTAAAATAAAAAGAAGACTGTAATGCGTTGTTCTAACACTGAACAAGCAGCCATTGAAGTTGGCCGTATAGAAGTTTGTGCGTTGAATGAAGTTTTTAGAAAAAATAAATAAAAATCACACATTGCTTGTTATAATCAGTCATAAAAACAACAAAAACTAATCAATAAAGTTTTTTACTTACCGAAAATACGATAACCCATCCTTTTTTAGCCTTCTTGACGTAATATTTTAAAAATATTACAATTTCTCACAGAACACTTTGGCATTTTTAACAACTGCTCCCAGACGCGAGCGACGCGAGACTATTTGAAATGAGCGCACAATTTAGAATGTTGCGCTCATTTTTTGAGGACGTTTTTTAGACGTTGAGTGTGCATCTTGGGTTTTTTGTATATCAATGCCTGGACCTCAGACTTCTGTATCTGTTTCGTGATCATTTGTTAATCTAACGCGGCTCCACATGTGGGTCCCAACGCTCGTACCAACGTTGGACTGCAACTCGGTGAGGCGTAACAGTTGGCTAATAAACTAGTTCTGTCCCGTCAGGGCCAATGTGAAGATTCCGATACAGAAATCGAAACTGCTCTGAGCGCGTTTAAGTAATGTGAGTGCACATTTATATTTGTTACTGAGAAAAATAAAAGCCACGTCAAAGTCAAAATTCTCGTTTTTTTAAAATTTCAATTGAAAATCATCCCATATTTGTTGAATGTCCATCATCAGTATTAATTTTTATTTTTATGATCCTTTCGAGTTGCGTCCCATATTATTGGATGTGCTTGATAAAGTTCAATAAATTCTATTACTTTTCATTTGTCCATGCCGGTGGGATTTTGTGGATGAGGAAGCTATTTCGTGACACGCACTCGCTGGTACTGTAACAGAACTAAGCAAGCGCCAACGTGTGGACAGATCGCGAGCGTTGGCGCAGATTCCTTTGATGAAACCGACACGAGCCGGCCAACTACCAACACTCGCCCCAACGTTGGGACCAATGCCATTTTCTAGATCCACACGTTGGACGAATAGCGTTGAGGCCAATATTGGGGCCAACGTGTGGAGCCGGCCTAACAATGTTTTGTTTTCCTTCGTACGAGCGAAGGTTAAATGCGCAAATAGAATGAAAGTCCATTGATGAGATTCGCTTGCTAAAGCTAGCAATGAAGAAAAAAGTCTTTTGTATATTAAATATATATTTGGAATATAAACCGTTTCAGATAATAGAAGCTCGTCGCGAAGAAGCCGAGCACATGTTGCCGCCCCTCTCGGACGACTACGACGTGTCGCCCAACAAATTGCCCAACAAGTTGCCCTACCTGATGATCGACCAGGTATTTCTATTTGAATTTTACAATATTCTTAATATACATAGTAATAATAACTTCTTTAGAAGTGGTTTTCAACAAGGTGGTCCTCTCGGGCCGGCCATTTTTGCCTCGTAATTAATTTAAATTTAAAAATAAATTTTAACGTACGTAGACGATCTTAAAAAATAAAGAAAATTAATTTTACTTAAAGTAAAATATTGATCACAAATTTGGTCCCTTTGGCAGTGTACTTTAAACGCTGGCAGCATTTCATCGTTGTATTGCGATACTTATTCGTTAAGCGACGAAAGCACCAGCTCTGAGGTCACCTACCAGGCGCCAACTTAAATATTTAATTACTGCCCGTGTATCCATTTCAAAATGAATAGAATCTAAGCAGGAAAAAAATATTCGTAATATTTTTTTTTTAAATTCATATAAAATAATGTGTGCTTTATCATAAACAAATTTAGTTAAGTATATTCTGATAATATGAACCTCCCGACAGATGGCGCTGGGCGAGTGCCTGAAGGCGTGCGGCATCGAGCCCAGCCGCCTGCAGACCGCGTCCCCCTACTCCGGCGGCACGGCCGTCGGCCTCGCCCACCGCCACAGCTGGGTGGAAGCCGGTAAGCGCTATATCGCATCTTCAGATATTACTTGAACAGTTACGTCACGTCATTATTATTTTGTATAATATAAAGAAGAAGTTAATTGAATTTTTCTATAAATTAACACCTATTCGCACTTGTTAATTCAAATATCTTTTTTAATAATCAAAGAAAAAATGTGAGATAATATCCCTAAACAAATTCTTATACTTTTTTGCTGCAATAGTTGTTGTAACGTATCGTATCTATCTCGAACCGTGAAGTGAGTGCAGCCTTCGTAAGACGCTAAATGCCTAAACCCCTTTCAGGAGCCACGCAGGGCAGGGACAGCCTGGCCGACATCTCCGCGGGGCCCGTCACCGAACTCGACAGCGCCAACAGTTCCCCCGGAGTACAGAGGGTGAGATAAAAATATTTATTTTTACCAGGCAGGAGGTTCACCTGATATTGAATGATACCGCCCACGGACACCTGTATTGCCAGAAGGCTCGCGAGTGCGTTGCCAGCCTTTTAAGAACTGATTCGGAAATACTTCAGTGGGCAGCCGGTTCCACATAGTGGTGCTCGGCAAAAACTTCCTTAAATAACGCTTAGGTGGTGGTTGAGGTGATACGGATGGTATTTTGTATTATACCTCCGCGACCGACGATGAAACCAATATTAAACTGTTGATAAATGTGACGTTTTATAAATTCTCGTATAGTAGACATAGACATATCATTTATTACAAACAAACACAAAAAAAAAAAAAAAAAAAAAAAAAAAAAAAAAAAAAAAAAAAAAAAAAAAAAAAATTTAAAAAAATTTCCCAAAACCCCCTTAAAATTTTAAAAAAAAAATTTCTTAGGGGGGGGGGAAAAAAAAAAAAAAAGAAAAGCGCCCGGGGGCCGGTTTTTTTAAAAAAAGGGAAAAAAAAAAAAAAAAACCTTGTAATATTTTGGATAAAAACCCCCCCAAAAGGGCGGGGGGTTTTTCTTTTTTAACTTTTAGGTTTTAAAAACCCTTTTTCGCGGACACACTACATGACTACATACAAAATAACAATAATGAAAGTAAGAAAAAAATTCAATAAAAAATAATGAGAGATATATAAAAATATTATTTTTTCTTTTCTCTCGTTCTTTCTTTCCTTCGGTACGTTTCAACTGTGTAATGCGTGTGTGCTGTGGCTGTAATTGGCCCTGGCTCAGCATCATGCTGAGGAGCAGAATGTTCCACAGCGCTGGTCATTCTGCCAGACCCCACAGCAGCTAGTTTGCACCTCAGTCGCGAAAAAAAAAAGAAAAAAGAATGTATCAATACTTAGTAGAAAATAATAATAATAATATTAGTAAAAGTTAGCAGTGTAAGTAATGAAGTCTTGTGTAATGTTGTGTGAAGTAAATAAAATAAAATAAAAAGTTAAAAATAAGAATAATTGTTAAGAATTATATAAATAATTGTTTTTTTTTATATGTATTATATTATACTTTAATAAATATAAATTATGACAGCAAACCCAGTACGACGCGTTGGACGAAGAGTACCGAATGTTCATCGAAAAGTACAACTACAACCATCGGCCCTCCATGCCCCACTTTGGGACTTATGTAATTCATTCATTTTTTTAGTAAAAAACTGTAAAAATATTTGTTTGTGATTTCCGTGAATATAGATAACAGTAAAATAACGCAACACATTTGTGTCTCTGATAATATTGAAATCCCTATTCCTCCAGCGAACGGATAATGAGTTCTGGCACTGGGGCCACGAAGACGCGCACGCGGCTAGCGTACACGACGCGCGGACTAGTTTGGTATTCGTCTCAGTCTCGATATCATTCGACCACGTATTCCTAGATGATTTCTCTACATTTAGTTCCCATTTTAGTGTTAGTTTGGTTTATATTTGAATACATGATCAATGATGACGCGTAAATAACGAACGGCCGTGCCGCAGCACCCCACGCAGAGCGAGAACGTGAGCCTGGAGGCGCTGCGGCGGGCGGCGAGCGGGCCCAGCGAGGCCGAGAGGAGAGACGCGGAGAGGAGGAAGGTGTCCCTCAACAACACCTTCCGCACTGCGCCCTTCGACCATCTGCTGCACATCACGCAGCCCAAGGTCTGATCTCTTCCACCTATTATTGTGTTCGTTTTAGAATTTGCATAACTAAAACTGCTTAAGACTTAAAATGACACAAATTAAAATTTATTAAATTTTAACAAATTTGTTATATTTATTTTTAAAGCAATGTTGGCCTAGTATTACTTTACGTTGCGACTCTCATCCCTGAGGTCGTAGGTTCGATCCTCGGATGTGCACTAATGGACTTTCTGTATATGTGCGCATTTAACATTCGCTCGAACGGTGAAGGAAAAAATCGTGAGGAAATGGGCTTGCCTAAGACCGAAAAAAGTGGACGGCCTATTAAATTGACAAATGATCACGAACAGATACAAAAATCTGAGGCCCAGACCTAAAAATGAAGCGCCACTTTTTTTTTTTAATTTAATTTATATATTAAACCCCAATTTTTTTTTTTTTTTTTCTAACCCCACAAAATTCCCCTTTTAAAAAAAAAAAAAAAAAAAAAAAAAAAATTCCCCCCCATCCCAAGACGGACGACACTATTCACTCATTATTTCTGTTTCCTCATAATTTAAAGAGAAATGTTTTCAATGCAATGTTTACCTTCAGTACGAGATCCAAGACAAGCTGGAAGAGATCTTCAACTCCATCTCCGAGGAGCCCCTTCTGCCCATCGGAGCCGGCTCCCCCGCGGGCAAGACTCAGAACCAGCCTTACACCAAGTATTTGACGGAGCTCTTTCTCTACTGAGGTAGCGGACTCGATCGCCTGACCGTTTCATATCCCTACATCTTCCCAATAGAGAATGTTTAATTAGTATGAATATGTTTTCAGATGGACAATATGATTGGCAGTTCCATACTTAAGGCCGTAGTGGACTTTTCTCGCAGTTTTCCAGAAATTAGTAATAAAGGCAATGCAATATTTAAAAGCCGATTTAGAGGAATTGAAAGTTTCATTATTTTAAAGGTTTCATTTATGAGAGCATCTTCTTCCAGGCCAATCTTTCGGGGTCACTTATTAATTAAGACAACGGTGTGTGGATTTTCAAAAGGGTCAAGTTATCTAGGAATTTGTTTAAAGTGATAGTGTTATAAACTTATCTCAACCAGTGGTAGAATTTCCTTCAAACGAAAATGATAAACCAGGACGAGAAATACGTAACATCGAATAGTAAACGTAAAAATTAAAAAAATTTTTAATGCGACAATTAAGTATCCTATTACTTAATTGTCGCATTAAATCACACTACTGTACTCTCTTTCTAAGTCAAAGGAACGTGGTCGGCTTTATAGTGAGATGTGGCACTTCTTTTTCAACGGTGTATAATTTTGAGGACTAGTCTTTGACTTGACCAGCTCATCTCGTTGAATACGCGTTCTTTATGTGCGTTAAATATCGTATTTTGGCGTGAACTTTGCGATATTGATTCGATTAAAACTTTTATATGTCGAGACTTATTTAAACCAAGTATGGCTCTGCGTACAACAAAGGTTTTATATAAGTTTCACTTCTTACGTGTTACACCTAGTACACAATTTTTAAGGGTAATTGTTAAATATGGGGTTGAATTGCAAAAAAAGTAATTTAAAAACGTTTTAAAAATTCCAAGAAACTTGTAGGCATCTAACATTTTTAGACTAAATCTATGTCTAATCAAATATAAAGTAATATTTATAACATCATATTATCAAGTTTATAGTTGGTAATTAAAATTCAATGTTCTTTGTAGTATTAAATACAAAATAAATATTGTTTGGAATCTTCTTTCATACTTGAAAATGAACAAATACGGGACAAGTGATATATCGCTTAATATATTGCTTCACTAACGGTAAGCACATAATATGTAAAAGCGCTTTGTGTGAATTCACCGATTCCTTATTTTTCATTATCTTCGTAGATGTTTGTGTGAAAATAGACAATTTACCGAAAACGAAGGCAGGTAATGGTAACAAGTCGCGCGATATCGGAGCCCTAGAGTATACAAGTTTATTGCGGGTCACTGATTCTGTTATCATTTAACGTCAGTAATTTCACGAAGACAAAGTATTGTTTTTTTCTTTTACTCGTTTCTTTTTTTTGTGTAATAATGACATTCCATTGATAATTGTCTGATTTTTTTTTTATCAAACTCAAAAAGTGTTTGCTTAGCATATTTAAACCGTTTGCCTAAGCTGTGGATTACGATAGACGACACCTTATGAGTGATTTAATGGTTCATAATTAAGGAGTTGTAATTAAATAAAAATTATTTATCAAAATCTCTTATTTAAAACAAACACTACCTTCTTCCTTTTAGATGAAAAATCTGTAGGAATTTCTCTCGACTAGCCTTTTTTACATTTTCTGTAAACGTTAGCTTTCGATATTATTTTTTATTGTTATTCGTACTTACACATGTTATAAGGTTAATAAATTATTACGTAGATCAAACTTAGTGTTATTTCTAACGATCCTTCAGTACCTGGTCATTGCAGGTACCGAGCAGTGTTGGCCTAGTGGCTTCGGCCTGCGACTCTCATCCCTGAAGTCGTAGGGAGGTTTCTGTCTATGTGCGCATTTAACATTCGCTCGAACGGTGAAGGAAAACATCGTGAGGAAACCGGCTTGCCTTAGACCGAAAACATCGACGACGTGTGTCAGGCACAGGAGGCTGATCATCTACTTTGACCTATTAGATTGACAAATGAAACACAGCAATCTGAGACGAAGATTCAAAAAAGGTTGTAGCGCAACTGATTTTTTTATACATATAATTGTAAAATAGTTTGTTTCGCTTAACAATATGTTCGTTGATCAATGGCATTAGTGACACGAAAAAAATAAAACGACGGAATAATTAGATATTTTATTTGTAACTACATATATACAAAAATATATTAAAAATAAATTAACTTTGATGTAATATTGTGACATTTGAAATGAATTTTTACAACTCTTATTTCTACATAATCAGTTTACTATTTCGCAGTCTTATTTTTAAACCTTTTACAAAAATATATTCAGGAACCGAAAATGGACATTTAGTACATAAAACATCGAGAATGTTTCGTCGCATTCATTTATTCAGAGTACTATGAGAGTGACAAAGACAAAACATTCAGCTATAATACTTGTATCTATATTATTGTTTGTTGTAGGAATAACGTTTATACTAGATATATTATTGCGCTAGGTTTTAGGTATCGATCTTTGAGAATACCGACTTAATAAATGTATAGAAAATCACATCTCATCTCATTCCCATATATCTAAGCTAATTATAAATAATACAATATTATGAACACATTACGTTGACTCTAACGTTTTGCAGTTGGTTAAATAAAGAACCACCTTTTATTTTATAAAAGTTATGTTTTTTATCGAATAGATGGCACTGGTATGATTTATTATAAATTCGCTTCTTTAGAATAAAATATAAAATGATGATTTACAAGTTAATACATTTATTAATACGAAATAAAAGCACAAATTGTGCAATTCTTTGAGCCTCGTTGAAAAGTATAAAATCTCAAATAAATATAAATTTCTTTGACAATACATTTGTGCATATCACATTAGATCTTAGGGAAATCTTATAACGGTGGTGCCGACCGCTTCGTCGCTACAGGCGTGCGCAAGCGCAGCTTCAAAATCTTGAGGGAAATAAACCTGTAAATTTTATTTTAAAAAAATAATCATACTCAATAAGGTAGGTGATTTTAATTGCCTTCGAAATAACGACTCTACCTAGCCCTACTGCGATAAAAATCAGATGAAGACAAAAGCTACAATTTTTATAATCCTTTTCACTTAACGAAGAATCAGTAAACTATATTTCACTCACCTTGTCGAGAACGGGCGACAGTTGTCCCCCCTCCACCAGGTGGCGCAGGGTGTCGAGTCCGTCGCTCAACCGATGCCGGGACTCGAACCAGTCACAATGCCAGCCGTGACCCGTCAACCACTGCACAATAAAAGTGTTAGAACAACGGTTCTCTTTTAAAGAGACGATAATAGGTTCCCCCGAGACCAAGTCGTAGGAAAAATAATGTTCTCGATATTACTTTAGTTATATTTTTATAATAAACGAGAGACGTATCAATATCTTACCCTGAGCACGCGAAGAGAATAGAAGGAGACGGTGAAGACCGCCCAGAGGGGAGAAGGCAGCCGATCCGTCACCAGAGCCCCAGGGCGAAGCTCCAACGCCGCTCTTCGGGGTGCGGTGGCTCTGTAATGTACGTTTGTTACGTACAAGACCACATTCACAAATTTCCTCTCCTTTTTTATTTTCCAGAAATCGCTTCGACATTATTTAGTTTTATTTATAATAAATAAATATTAATTAATTGTATTCTGATTATATATTATTGCAAGCACGGGTAGATCGGTACATCTTAAAAATAGCGGGCACGGTTAGGATACGTCCTATAAATATAATATATTGTTTGTCATTCTGTATGTGTTATATAAATAAAGACAAATATTTCAGTATTTTAGTTATTTTAAGCGTAAATAAAAATAGGAAATTACGTTCCTCCACCTGTAGAGACTGGCTTGAGTTTCCAAACTCAAGGCATTGTGCTACATATGTGGAGATCTTAATAAGATCTTCCATAGCAGCCAAGTATTTAGAGACCATGCTTTGTGACTCCTGCAATTTTAATACCATGGAATCTATTTTTTAAATTTCCAAGATCTCCTTTGGCAATTGTTGGGTGTCAAATTCATATTTAATCCTACCATTTTCAAGTTCAATTAAGTTTATATCAATATTAGCTTTAATATTTATGTTTTCCTTAATAATTTGTTTATTATCTAATACAATGTGCTTTTTAAGAAATTTTTGTGATTTAGTTATAAATTTATTGATTTAATGTACTTTTTTATTCTTTATATACTACATCCACTAAAAATTTTATATGATGTAGAGGAATGTGATTCTGAAAGTGAACTATTGCAAACTAAGTCTTTAAAAAGGTCTTGTGTTAAAGTCTCTGACTTCTAGTGTGAGGCTTCTTCAAGCTTTGCGTCATACAATTCCTTTTCAAGAACCTTTTCAACAATGCGTTTCAAGGCACTTTCATATTCTAAGCCATAGCCATCAAGCTTGTCCAATTGACTTTTTATCAAGTCACACTCATCGTGGAGTGTGTTATTTTGCTGAAATATCAATGATTCTTCGGCTTTAAGCTTTTTATTGGCCTCTAGCACTTCCAACAGCTCTCTTTCATTGTCCTCTCTCTAGTGTTAACTGAACTCATAACTCCCTGGAAACGTTTAGACTCTTTTTGTAAGGCAAGGCCTCTGCGAGTCAGCATATTGCTAGAAAGGTGTTGTATTGGCTTTCAATAAGAAGTGTAGGTGCTCAAGTTAATAAGTGGTGATTTTAAACTATTGGCACACAAGTCTATTAGTATTACTTTTATATATACCTAAAGTAATACTTACTTTATATGTATGATACACAAAACACTAATTGACACAAGTTTAATAGAGAGTTAAGAAATATAAATTTGAATTTTTTTTCAACCTAATTGACACTTAACTTTTTGTCACAATATTAGCGTTTTAGACCCTAATTTTGTTAGCAAAATCCTATTTTAACACAGCACAAATGAAATAATTAGCAACAGAATGGAAAAATTTACGGAAATATTTAAGAAAATTATGAATTTTACAGAGACCTAAATTTAACAGCTTACACTTACCACCAAACAATATCTTTAAAATTAATTTAATTACATGTATATGACACAGTAAAGTAGTTAAATCAGAAAGTTAATTGAATCCCTAGACGGTTCATTAAAGATCGA